TCACCGTCACTTAGTCGATACTGGACGAGGGGCTGACATTACGCTGACACAGGGGGCTGATACAAGGGCTGATACAAGGGCTGATGAAGGGGGCTTATACTGGCTGACACACGGACTGACACACGAACTGACACAAGGACTGACACACACAGGGACTGACACACGCACACACACACACACACACACACGGACTACCACACAAAAACTGACACGGACACTAACCTAACCTAACCTAACCTAACCTAACCTAACCTAACCTAACAACACACGGACAATAGATCTTCCTACACCTGGATATTAAAATAAATTTATTGGAATATGAAAAAAAAAAATATATATATCTCTCATTAAATGCAGTTGTACTTTTCTCTTGATGTTTCAGACCTATAATTACAGTACGAGGGATAGTACACACACACACACACACACACACACAGGTTCAATAAATCTGACTGTACAAGCATAGTTAATGAATTTGCATGAATGTGTACAAGGGTGGGGATTATTTGTGGCTCAGTGGGTAATGTTTAGATGTTTATGATTATTATTTTATGTTTGTTTTATACTGGATCGTTCAGGTAAATATTACCCAGGTGTGTAAATCTGACTGTACGGGTGTGAGGTAAAAAATAATTCAATTTACCTGATGAAAAACCTTCCTCATTTGTGTTTTTTAATATATAACTTACTTAACTTAATCTAACTAACCTAACCTAACCTAACCTAACTTAACCTAATCACATCTCACCTCACCACAATTACGATACCTATTCACAGTGAGTGTATGTGACTCAGTAGATGCAGTGTCTATTGTAGTATACGAGTTTGATATGTTTGACTCACCTGGGGCCATGTTCGACTCACCCGGGGCCATATTCGTCTCACCTGGGGCCATGATCGACTCACCCGGGGCCATGTTCGACTCACCTGGGCCATATCTGTCTCACCTGGGCCATGTTCGACTCACCCGGGGCCATATTCGTCTCACCTGGGGCCATGATCGACTCACCCGGGGCCATGTTCGACTCACCTGGGGCCGTGTATATAATTAAGGGCTATGACTCACCTGTGGGAGATTTACTATGAGGTCAATTTTCCACCTTGCTGTAAATACCATGGTAGTGAGAGCGTGTTGTGGAAGGTTATATAACTAACTCACTCTACGCACACCTGTAAACACTACCTGGCCTTCTCTCCATCATACCTGTAACACTACACTACTCACACACACAACGATTCCATTTTTTTTTTATTTACACCATAGATTATCGTGTTATATTTTTAAGAACATATTATATAGGAATTATTAGATTAAGTGGATTACCAAGGCTGATGATGCCTAAAGAGTATAATCCGAGTGAATTATTGGATTAGTGGTTTATTCTTGTGTAAATACGTCGGGATAATTAATCACAGACCATTGGAGTTTCTGGAGGATGATTTAACGAAGAGTGGTAGTAGTAAAAAAGTACCTTTGTTGCTAATTTTGTTTTTATGGTAGGTTAGGTTAGGTTAGGTTAGGTTAGGTTAGGTTAGGTTAGTTTAGGTTAGGTTAGGTTAAGTTAGAATTGGTTAGATTATATCTGGTAAGGTTAGGTTAGGTTAGGTTAGGTTAGGTTAGGTTAGTTTAGGTTAGGTTAGGTTAAGTTAGAATTGGTTAGATTATATCTGGTAAGGTTAGGTTAGCTTAACTTATTTTGTTGAAATCTCAGTTGAAATAAGTAAGGTCTGTCTAATATTCAGTTAACTCACTAACAAAAAATATCTCTTGTGTTGTTATTTTTTGTGGATGTCTCGTTTTCACACTGAGGAAGGGCAGTATTGACCTGATTCCCGACACAACACTCCTCAAACTAACGACCTCATGAATTATTACTAGTGACTCCCAAGACTGAGAGACAACAATAAAAATGGATTTAGTGAAGTATGATTGATGACGCCCCGTGTGTAGATAAAGTACTGTGATATACCTGCCATTAGTGCCGTATACAGGTATAGGTAGATACTGTACTGTTTTGTAGTACTGTATAGCCAGGTGTGTGTGTGTGTGTGTGTGTGTGTGTGTGTGTGTGTGTGTGTGTGTGTGTGTGTGTACTTATGTCTGTGTACATCTATGCCTGTGTACGTAAGTGTGTGTACTTAGGTCTGTGTACTTATATGTGTATACAAATGTGTGTTTGTGTACGTATATATGTGCGTGTCTAAATCATAGCTGAAAAAAAACAGTCATGAAAGAACTAAAAGAACAAGAAAATGAGACAGACTTAACAGGTGTGTTGACGAGAGCTCACTCCATTTTCTATAGCATTAGAGAGGGAAGGTGGGTGACTTAACCATTTCATTAACTAGTTTATATCATTTAATAATACTAATACCAGCTATAATTCTAAGCAAAATAGTAGAGAAATAACCACAAAGTTTAATAAAGGGAGGAATATTATCCCTCACTAACGAGCTGATGTGTGATAATGCCCCATCACACATAACGTAAATTATACTACAATTATACTTTCATTATACTGTATATCTCTAAGGTAAACAAAAGTATAAGTTATAGATATTCACAAACGTATAATTTAGTGGCGGTTTTGAATTATATATATATATTATAAAGTATATAATATATTTCACGGTAATAGGTGATTTTGTTGGTATATTTGTGAGTAGATGTTTTTATATAATTCTTTAGGTTTACCTGTTGACGGGGTAATGATCTAATTACACCTGTCTTGTCGAATGTTTAATGCAGATGGTGTTGATTCTCTGTATGTCTGTCTAGCGCTGTAGTTGTTAGTCTGTCTATCTGTTTTAGTCTGCTCTGTATGTCTGTCTCTTAGTATTTTAGTGTCCAAGGGATGAATTCTCTCCTCCATCTACCTCTCTCCCCGAATTTAGCGAAACCTAACCCAACCTAACCTAACCTAACCTATCCTGACCTCCATCCTTCCATCCATCCCTCCCTCCTTCCTTCTGACAGTACCTCTATCACATTTTCTTTAAGCGGTAACTAAAAAAAAAATAAAGAGACTAACTTTCAATTTAATCTGAACACCAACTCGTCCATCACCAGGTGCTGAGTGAGGAGGAGCCTGACACGTGTGAGTTATCAGTCGTGGCTCTACACACGTGTGAAAATTAATGATTCTTGTTTGTTTATGATGAGTGACACCTTCTCCTCCTCCTGTGTGGATTGGCACTCTTGTTGCTGTTGTTGTTGGACACCTCTCGTTTAAATTTAGGACACCATTTACCAAACCAATATTTTTCCACGTGTTCCAGATTCTTGTTGAGTGAGGACAGGTGAGCATGTAGGTGACCTACTCCTGGTGCTGTTGATACACTTAATTAAAAGTTGAAATAGAGGGAACGGTTTACAGTTCTGTGAATGGTATTTATGTTTGACAGTAAAGCAAAAATCCCTAATGTAAATTGACTGTAGACACGGCGAGTCGATAATTACAGTGATGAAAGCTCAGGTTGTGTTTATTATAGGTTAAATCTATACTGTTTCATACATATATACATTAAAATACACGGATCACATGAAGATTAGGCACCCAATTTATGTTACCTTAAGGCGAGCCATCCTAACGCTGACCTAATCGAATTTAACGCTAACCTAACCTAACCTAACATAACCTAACCCATTTTGAAGGCTGTACGGTATCTACACACACACCCACACCCCTCCCTTCCCCTCCTCTGGAAAAGCTACTGGAACCCGCTGAAACACCCCCCCCTGGAACACCTCCCTGGACCCCTCCCCCACCACCAGTGTTTCTCAGTCACCCCCAGACCAACACTTTATGGACACAACACACTCATCACGGGGCGTTAAATCACAGGTATAAATACTAGTTTAATCCATCATAGCTTAGGTGAACATTGACCTCATTGTATGTATGTATGTATGTATGTATGTATGTATGTATGTATGTATGTATATGTATGTAAACTAACAAACCAACTTTTAGCATGACTGGGAACATTACCCGTGTTATATTTCACCTGTTAATGGCTACCGAATTACACGTGTAAATTTCACCAAGACAGCAGTAACACTGGCCCCGGGACGGTATATACTCTGTGTTCTCGATACTGTAGCCACGAGTTATTGTTTCAGGTCACAGGAACGGAGAGCCAATACCTACCTTCCTACCTACCTACCTAAAATGGTTGCCCCTCGTGTAACAAGGATGGCCGGCCCAAGGGCCACCTAGGCGTGAATTTGTTTAAAGTGTAGAAGCTGTAATCAACACAACAACCACACCCTGAGTTAACGAGCTGCATGACCCAGTGTCAAGGAATAGTCGGACAACTCGCCAACTGCACTGGCTAACCATTACCCCGGACACGATTCACAAATCGATTAACATGCAGGTCCCCAATTACTGCTGGGTAGACAGAGACAAATGGCGTAAAGAAACTTGCCCTAGTTCACTCGCTTGCGAGGCCAGCATGCTGACCATTACACCACAGGTCGCCTACCTACCTACGTACCTTACCTTACCTTACCTTACCTTACCTACAAACCTCCCTCCCTCCTTCCCTCAGGCACAGGTCACTCGGGGATGTATGTTAAGGGGGGGGGGTGTTGCTTGCTGGTGGTTGCATTGTCAGTATAAGCGGTTGTCAGGCGCCACCCCAGACTATGTAATGTTTGTGTGTGTATACCTGTCACCTCACTCAGTGTGTGTGTGTGTGTGTGTGTGTGTGTGTTCTTTACGTGGACCAGAAAACACCAAAAATTATTTAAAACAAGTATAACATAACACCTTACACCGCCTTCCTCAGTATGCCTGGAGACGGTGTATAATAACCAATGAATATATGTATACCTCTGGGACAACAACAACAACAACAACAAAAATCACACACACACACACACACACACACACACACACACACACACACACAGCTGCTTCTCTGTCTTAAACTATCATGATTGAATTTGTCAGAAACGTCAGCGGTAATCTTGCGTCTTTCTCCAGGTGGCAGTGATGGAGGCCACTGGGGAGAAGAGACGAGAATGGATTGACGTCTTTAAGTGGGTGGATCTTGGTCTGGCAAACTGATGATGGTCTTTAGGGGAGGAATGTGTTATTGAGAGATTCTTAACCATCGTAATGCTAAAAATAACCTAACCTAACCTAACCTAACTTAACCTAACCTAACCTAACCTTACCTTACCTTACCACACCACCTCTTCCATCTTCTACAGCTCCTCTTCCTCCTCTTTCTACACCTCCTCTTCCTCCTCCTTCTACACCCCCTTCTTCCTTCACCTCCTCCTATACCACCTCCTACTTCTTCTCCTCTTCCTCCTCCCCCACCACCTCCTCCTCCTCCAACACCTCCTCCTCCTCCTCCAACACCTCCTCCTCCTCCAACACCGCCATCTCCTACACCTCCTCCTCCTCCTCCTCCCCTCCCCCCTCCTCCCTACACCACACCTCCTACTTCTCCTCCTCCTCCTCCTCCTCCTCCTCCTCCTCCAACACCTCCTCCTCCTCCTCCAACACCTCCTCCTCCTCCCACCACCTCCTACACCTCTCCTCCTCCTCTCCCCACCTCCTCCTCCTCCTCCTCCTCCTCCTCCCACGAAAGAGTTCCACTAGATTAAGGAATCAAAATGCCAGCACCGTCGCTCACAAATCCTGTCTAGCTTTTTGAAGTTTGTAAGTTCCTGGAGACTCACTTCCTGGGCCAAGAATGGGTGGGGTGTGGGGGGAGTCAAGAATGGGTGGGGTGGGGTGGTGGGGGAGTCTAGAGGGTGGGGTGAGGGGGGAGAGAACTACGTCATGCTCGGTGCGTCTGTTTGATTTATGCATTTTAGACGCCAAACATTTCTCGGTTGTTGACGCTCTCCATCTTTCACGATCCTCTCCATTGGTTTCTGATGATATGGAATTCCTTGAGTCTTCTTCTTCTTCTTCTTCTTCTTCTTCTTCTTCTTTCTTTCCTCTTCATGTTAAATCAATCGTCTTCAAGGGGTTAAACCAATCGTCCTCAAAGGGTTAAACCATCGTCCTCAAAGGGTTAAACCATCGTCCTCAAAGGGTTTTAAAAACATACCCAAAGAATCATAACCTAACCTAACCTGTACCCACTCGAGTCAAACACGTTTAAGTCACGTTGGTGAAATACAAACATACAGACATGTGTAAATAAAGAGATTACGAAGGTCAATACGACGCTTGACCTCCAACAGTGTGACCTTGACCTTTGACACAGAAGTTTGAGTTTGTTTATGTTGATTTTTGGTCAGAATTTGTATATGTCCACAACGTGTTATGTGATAAGGAGATGTGGATGGATACCGAGACAGATAGAAAGACGGATAGACAGATATTCAGACAGGCAGGGCATAAGACAGATAGACAGATAGATAGAAAGGCAGATAGATAGAGATAAACATACGGGTAGATACCTAAAGACAGACAGATAGATACCCTGATAGATAAGACAGATAGGCAGACCAATAGACAGACACCATGATAGACAGGCGGTCAGATTGATACCCAGATATACAGACAGACAGACAGACAGAAGGACGTGTACCAAGACCCCAAAGTAATAACAGGAACTTCCTCAGCATCGTTTACTGCACAGGAGTCTCCTTCGTTACACTGCCGACACACCACCCACTCCCCGCCACCCACCATCTGCCACCCATTACCTGCCCATCTGCCACCCACCATCTGCCACCCATTACCTGCCACCCCACTCCCTACCCACCATCTGCCACCCACCATCTGCCACCCATTACCTGCCACCCACTACCTGCCACCACCATCTACCATCCACCATCTGCCACCACTACCCCACACCCCAGTCGTCTGAAACCACCCCACCCACCACTCATCCCCTGCTATCCACTCCCTGCCACCCATCACCCCTACCCGGCAAACGACCAGCCCCACCCGCCACCCATAACCGCCACCCACTACCCACCACCGCCCAGAGTCAACAACCACCCACCTACCCACCTACCGAATCTACCCCGACACCCAATACCCACCCACCTACGCCACCGCTCACTGTTCCACCCACCCCTAGTCTGTCCACCACCCACCACCCACCCACCAGAGAAGCTACCCCACTACCCACCGCCCATCTGCCAGCCTCCAACAGCCACCCGGATCAGCCATCAGCATCAGAATCGCTTCATCTCACTCAGGTTCTCGGCTCACGTCTGGGGAGCGACCAAGGCTACAGCAAAGACGCTCCACTGACTCGATATTCTTTTTCGGGGAGCAAGAACGGGTATGGGTGGGGATGTGGGTGGGTGTGGGTGGAGGGGGTAGGATCATGGGTCAGGATAGGGCAGTGAGGACAAGTTAGGTGGTGTAGGTGAGGATAGGGTTTGTTTTGTGAGGTGATGGATAGGTGGGGTAGGGTGGGTGTAAGATGGTGGATGAAGAGTTTACTAGATGGTTGGAGAGGAGATGAGCGGAGGAGGAGGAGGAGGAGGAGGAGGAGGAGGGATGATGGAAGAGGAAGAGGGTGTGGTGGTGCAGAAGGAGGAGGTAGGTAGGTAGGTGGACAGCCAGAATGATGAAAGGGCTGTATCATCTTACCTCTCGCTGTCTATATTATCCTCGTCTTCCTTTTCTTCATCTCCTTTTTCTTTCCCTTTCCTTCCCTCTTTTTCTTCTTTCCTTCCCTCTTTTTCTTCTTTCCTTCCCTCTTCTTCTTCTTTCTTCCCCTCTTCTTCTTCTTTCCTTCCCTCTTCTTCTTCTTTCCTTCCCTCTTCTTCTTCTTTCCTTCCCTCTTTTTCTTCTTTCCTTCCCTCTTTTTCTTCTTTCCTTCCCTCTTCTTCTTCTTTCCTTCCCTCTTCTTCTTCTTTCCTTCCCTCTTCTTCTTCTTTTCCTTCCCTCTTCTTCTTTTCCTTTTCTTCTTCTTCTTTCCTTCCCTCTTCTTCCTTCTTTTCCTTCCCTCTTCTTCTTTCCTTCCCTCTTCTTCTTTCTTCCCTCTTCTTCTTCTTTCCTTCCCCTCTTCTTCTTCTTTTCCTCCTCTTCTTCTTCTTTTCCTCCCCTCTTCTTCTTTCTTCCCCTCTTCTTCTTCTTTCCTCCCCTCTTCTTCTTCTTTCCTTCCCTCTTCTTCTTCTTTCCTTCCCCCTTCTTCCTCTTTCTGTCACTAATGAACACGATTAACACTCCTTTGTTTCCCTCAGTGGTACAGTGTTGAGCCAGACTTCACCAATAGCTCGACAAGCTCTCCTCCTCCACCAGATGTATCAAGGTTGATTTATTTGATTAAGAGGACATCTGGCTGGCCACTTGAAGGTGTAGCAGCTGTCCTCAACACTACACCTACACCCTGAGTTAGCGAGGTGTATGACGAGTGTGTTAAGGTGTAGCAGCTGTTCTCAACACCACACCTACACCCTGAGTTAGCGAGGTGTATGACGAGTGTGTTAAGGTGTAGCAGCTGTTCTCAACACCACACCTACACCCTGAGTTAGCGAGGTGTATGACGAGTGTGTTAAGGTGTAGCAGCTGTTCTCAACACCACACCTACACCCTGAGTTAGCGAGGTGTATGACGAGTGTGTTAAGGTGTAGCAGCTGTTCTCAACACCACACCTACACCCTGAGTTAGTGAGGAATACAACTAACGTGTCAATAGTCGACCTAGGATGACCCACACACCTCGGCGACCCGGCTGGCTGACCATGACCCGGTGATCGATTACCAGCCAGGTCGCCAATTACTGCTGGTTAAACCGAGGCAATTGGAGAAAGGGAAGTTACCTGGAGTTTGCGAGGCGAGCGTGCTAACTTTCTCTTCTTTTTGATTTGGTTGCTTCAACTACTGGGTGAGTCAGAAGCACCTACTGTACCTGTACCTGCATCTGTACCTGTGCCTGTACCTGTACCTATACCTGTACCTGTACCTATACCTGTACCTGCACCTGTACCTGTACCTATACCTGTACCTGTACCTATACCTGTACCTGCACCTGTACCTGTACCTATACCTGTACCTATACCTGTACCTATACCTGTACCTATACCTATACCTATACCTATATCTGTACCTATACCTATACCTATACCTGTACCTATACCTGTACCTATACCTGTACCTATACCTATACCTATACCTGTACCTGTACCTATACCTGTACCTGTACCTATACCTGTACCTGTACCTATACCTGTACCTGTACCTATACCTGTACCTATACCTATACCTATACCTGTACCTGTACCTATACCTATACCTGTACCTATACCTGTACCTGTACCTATACCTATACCTGTACCTATACCTGTACCTATACCTATACCTGTACCTATACCTGTACCTATACCTATACCTATACCTATATCTGTACCTATACCTATACCTATACCTGTACCTATACCTGTACCTATACCTGTACCTATACCTATACCTATACCTGTACCTGTACCTATACCTGTACCTGTACCTATACCTGTACCTGTACCTATACCTGTACCTGTACCTATACCTGTACCTATACCTATACCTATACCTGTACCTGTACCTATACCTATACCTGTACCTATACCTGTACCTGTACCTATACCTATACCTGTACCTATACCTGTACCTATACCTATACCTGTACCTATACCTGTACCTATACCTATACCTATACCTATATCTGTACCTATACCTATACCTATACCTGTACCTATACCTGTACCTATACCTGTACCTATACCTATACCTATACCTGTACCTGTACCTATACCTGTACCTGTACCTATACCTGTACCTGTACCTATACCTGTACCTGTACCTATACCTGTACCTATACCTATACCTATACCTGTACCTGTACCTATACCTATACCTGTACCTATACCTGTACCTGTACCTATACCTATACCTGTACCTATACCTGTACCTATACCTATACCTGTACCTATACCTGTACCTATACCTATACCTATACCTATATCTGTACCTATACCTATACCTATACCTGTACCTATACCTGTACCTATACCTGTACCTATACCTATACCTATACCTGTACCTGTACCTATACCTGTACCTGTACCTATACCTGTACCTGTACCTATACCTGTACCTGTACCTATACCTGTACCTATACCTATACCTATACCTGTACCTGTACCTATACCTATACCTGTACCTATACCTGTACCTGTACCTATACCTATACCTGTACCTATACCTGTACCTATACCTATACCTGTACCTATACCTGTACCTATACCTATACCTATACCTATATCTGTACCTATACCTATACCTATACCTGTACCAACACTATAACTGTACCTGTATCTGTACCTGTACCTGTACCTATACCTGTACCTATACCTGTACCTGTACCTATACCTGTACCTGTACCTATACCTGTACCTATACCTGTACCTGTACCTATACCTGTACCTGTACCTGTACCTATACCTATACCTATACCTGTACCTGTACCTAATTTGTGTGCCTCACCTGCTCGTGTGTGGGTGAGTGGGTCACCTGCCTCAGGGTGAGGACCAGTGATGAACACACCTGGTCGAGCCACCAAAAAATTCCTGGTATTATATGTAGGAAAAGCTGATGGCACCTGAGGCTCCGTCTACCTGAGGCTCCTTCTTCCTGAGGCTCCTTCTACCTGAGGCTCCGTCTACCTGAGGCTCCTTCTACCTGAGGCTCCTTCTACCTGAGGCTCCGTCTACCTGAGGCTCCTTCTTCCTGAGGCTCCGTCTACTTGAGGCATCATCCACCTCAGGCATCATCCACCTCAGGCATCATCCACCTCAGGCACCATCCACCTCAGGCATCATCCACCTCAGGCATCATCCACCTCAGGCATCATCCACCTCAGGCATCATCCACCTCAGGCATCATCCACCTCAGGCATCCATCCACCTCAGGCATCATCCACCTCAGGCATCATCCACCTCAGGCATCATCCACCTCAGGCATCATCCCACCCAGGCATCATCCACCTCAGGCATCATCCACCTCAGGCATCATCCACCTCAGGCATCATCCACCTCAGGCACCATCACCTCAGGCATCATCCACCTCAGGCATCATCACCTCCAGGCACCATCCACCTCAGGCATCATCCACCTCAGGCATCATCCACCTCAGGCACTCATCCACCTCAGGCATCATCCACCTCAGGCATCATCCACCTCAGGCATCATCCACCTCAGGCACATCATCCACCTCAGGCATCATCCACCTCAGGCATCATCCACCTCAGGCATCATCCACCTCAGGCATCATCCACCTCAGGCACCATCCACCCGCACCTCATCAGGAGTCTTTGATGCGGGAAATTGATGTTTGCGTTGCCTGTCCTGACTGTATTTGTTTATGTTATTCATTTGTTTGTTATTTATTTGTTTATGTTATTTATTTACATAATACCTATACATGTGTGTGTGTGTGTGTGTGTGTGTGTGTGTAAATATTCATAAAACCAAGCATAAATGCAGTTACATATACGCATGAATATACACGCGTATATCCGTGAGTATTGTATGTATGTGAGATGAGGTTAACACACACACACACACACACACACACACACACACACACTGATGCCCTCCTCCTCACATACATACATACATACATACATACATACATACATACATACATACATACATACATACAAGTTCATGCACTAATATACCTACGTGTGTGTATATTGCTCCAGGCAGCCACACACCTCCGTCGGAAGTCAGTGTTCCGGTGGGGAGGAAATACGAGCTGGTGCCGAAATAGGTTGGGATAAACAGGAAGTTAACCCACTACCGCCATCACCACCCCCGCCCGCCCGCCCCGCCCGCCCCCTTATTCCCTCTCTCCCACTTATTGCCCTTCCCCCACTTATTTCTCTTCCCCACTTGTGCCCTTTCCCCACTTTTTGCCCCTCCCCACTTATTGTTCCATCCCCCACTTGTGCCCCTCCCCTCACTTATTGCCCTCTCCCACTTATTGCCCCACCTTCACTTGTGCCTCTCACCCACTTGTTATTTCACCCCACTTATGGCTCCCCATTTATTGCCCCTCCCCACTTATTGCCCACACCCTCCACTTGTTGCCCCACCCCCTTATTGCCCCTCCCCACTTATTGCCCCTCCCCACTTGTTGCCCCTCCCCTTGTGCCCCTCCCCCACTTATTGCCCCTCCTCCCACTTATTGCTCCACCCCTCACTAGTTATACTTTCCTACATCGTAAATATACGCAGGATTTTAAAAGTATAATTTTTTTCCTACGCTAAAGCCTAGATTATAATTGGATAGTCGTAATTATACGCTTTTTTCCTTCTTTCAAAAATAAACTTTCTCTCTTTTTTCGATATATTTTTTGTTATAAGATATATTTACCAGGATCATGAATTATAGACGTTATTTCAAAGGTTATATTAGAGACTATATTATATAAGACAATTGTAATTATGGGCTATTATTTACACATATACTTGGGATTATATTTCGATCCATCGCTATAATTATATACATTTTATATCATAGTACAGAGGATATACCATCTACATCATTTTTTTAGTATGTGATATATTTTTTAAGTATTCTTTTACCTAGAGAATAAATTATAGACAAAGTGATGTAAATCTAAGCTAATTCCAACTATAATCTGTCAGAGGTGCCAATTATACCGTTTACTATAAGATTATGATGATTTGGTTATACTCTAGTCTCAAGTGTAAATTATACCTAAATGTGTATATAAATCTTTAAGCTCTTTCATCTATAATACTTGAAGTCAGTTTTTGCTGTGTTAATATAAATAGAATTTTATAATGGCTGGTGAATTGTAGGAGTCAGTTCAGAGCACCAAAGGTTAGTGTGGGAATGATTTTTCAAGCCAGGTCCTTTACTCATTGTACACACACACACACACACACACCTACCGATGGTTATATTAAATTATTTTCTGATTAATACATTCTCCCTCACCCCCTCCCTCACCCCTCACCCCTTACCCCCTCACCCCCATTAGTCTCAAAATAAACCTCAGATCAAAGTACCACAACTACTAACTTAAACCTCATTAGTCATGTTATCGTGGAATTGATATCACACAACCTCTGTCATCCTCACTATAGTCATACTAAAAAACAACCTAAACCAATTATTACCTCCAATGTTTGTCTTGTACTAAACCAGAATCATTCCAAACAATTTCAAGTTAAATTTGTCTACATTGACGGTCATAAATATGGAGATAATCATAGCTGTAAGTCACGGAATGAATGTGTAGCTGTAGTGACTAGTGTGGTGTGGTGTGGTGTGGTGTGGTGTGGTGTGGTGTGGTGTAGTGTGGTGTAGTGTAGTGTAGTTTAGTAGTGTAGTGTGGTGTGGTGTGGTGTGGTGTGGCGTGGTGTGGTGTGGTGTGGTGTGTAGTGATGGTGTTTGCTTATGTAGCTGTAGTGACTGTGGTGTGGTGTGGGTAGTGTGGTGTGGTGTGGTGTGGTGTGGTGTGTGTGGTTTAGTGTAGTGTAGTGTAGTGTAGTGTAGCTTAGTAGTGTAGTGTGGTGTGGGTGTGGTGTGTAGTGATGGTGTTTGGTTTATGTAGCTGTAGTGACTAGTGTGGTGTGGGTGTAGTGTGGTGTGGTGTGTGTGTAGTGATGGTGTTTATTATGTAGCTGTAGCATTTGTGTGGTGTGGTGTAGTGTGTGTGTGGTGTGGTGTAGTGTGATGGTGTTTGCTTATGTAGCTGTAGTGACTAGTGTGGTGTGGTGTAGTGTGGTGGTGGTGTAGTGATGGTGTTTGCTATGTAGCTGTAGTGACTAGTGGTGGGTGTAGTGTGGTGTGGTGTAGGAAAGATGGTGTTTGCTTATAGCTGTAGTGACTAGTGTGGTGTAGTGTGGTGTGGTGTGGTGTGGTGTGTAGTGATGGTGTTTGGTTTATGTAGCTGTAGTGACTAGTGTGGTGTGGTGTGTAGTGTGGTGGTGTATGGTGGTGTGGTGTGTAGTGATGGTGTTTGCTTATGTAGCTGTAGTGACTAGTGGTGTGGTGGTGTGTGTGGTGGTGTGGTGTGTAGTGATGGTGTTTGCTTATGTAGCTGTAGTGACTAGGTGTGGTGTGGTGTGTGGTGTGGTGGCGGTGGTGGTGTGTGTAGTGATGGTGTTTGCTTATGTAGCTGTAGTGACTAGTGTGGTGTGTGGTGTAGTGTGTGTGGTGTGGTATATGGTGTGGTGTGTGGTGTGGTGTGGTAGTGTAGTGTAGTGTAGTGTGTGTGTAGTGTAGTGTGGTGTGGTGTGGTGTGGTTTAGTGTAGTGTAGTGTAGTGTAGTGTAGTGTAGTTTAGTAGTGTAGTGTGGTGTGGTGTGGTGAGGTGTGGCGTGGTGTGGTGTGGTGTGGTGTGTAGTGATGGTGTTTGTTTATGTTGCTGTAGTGACTGTGGTGTTCTGTGTGGGTAACTAAATATGACTCGCATCCGCCACACATCCGTAATATCATGTCTGTACCCGCCCCACACCCGCCCCATACCCGCACCTGCCTCACACCTACCCCACACCCGCAAGTCTGATCACATTCAATCCACCAGGTGAAATTTTAGCAGGTTATTAGGTGGTAGACATTTCAATAAGCTATTAAAGCAAAAAGCAATACAAGGTAATGCCACACATCTAAAGCACAATGGAATCTTTTAATTATAGAAATTGTAAAGTATAATACATTCCTACACTGACTCACTGATTACCACTAATGATAATTCAGATTGGTAAGAGCATCTCGCAATGTCATCCTCAGCGTGACGCGAACAAATACTTCATATGACATGAAGTCGCCGGTCACAACCCTTCAACATTTGGCCCAAACCGTGTTGAAAAGTCGCCCAATTGTGAGGCAAAGTCGCTGACTAGGCAAGTCTGCTGAAGAGGGAGGGTAGAGGAATGACAGGAGGAAAGGGGGGTAATGGAAGGGGAAAGGGGTAGAGAGTGGACAGAGAGAGAGAGAGAGAGAGAGAGAGAGAGAGACCACACCCGCCCGTGGGTAGCCCGCGCAGACCTATGATGTTCATCCCACACCCACCCCCCTCCTACTCGACTCCCACGCCTCTCTCTTACGCTGCCACGCCTCTCTCCTACACTCCTACGCTTCTCTCCAACACTCCCACGCCTCTCTTACACTCCCACGCCTCTCCCCACGCACTCCTACGCTCTCCAACACTCCCACGCCTCTCTCCAGCACTCCCACGCCTCTCCAACACTCCCACTCCTCTCTCCTACACTCCTACGCTTCTCTCCAACACTCCCACGCCTCTCTTACACTCCCACTCCTTAATTTAAACATTAAAATCCCATTCCAGTTCCCTTCCACCAAACCTAAAATCTCATCTCTCGTCATGTCAGTCTGTCAACTCATGCCCAGGCCATAACCTCTCATCTCCCCGCTGTCAACCACTCAATGAGGAAAAAAATTACAACTCCTCCACTATGCCGCCACTAAGATGCCCTAAACAGTTCCTTATTACTGGCTGTCATCATGCCTGGGAGTGGAGGCAACGAGACCCACGTAATTTGGAATGTGTAAATTAAATTCTCGGCTTAATCTGGTGAATGTGGCGGCGGGGCCCTTCCGAGTACGTCATGTCGGTGTTGTCTCCCAAGATTGTTGCTGGCACGAGGGAGGAACAGCGCCTCGGGTTGATTGGCTGTCGTGTTTACTTGTGTATTTTCTTGACTCTCTCTCCAGACTGACTCGTTCCTGTATCGTATGTTGTTATGTGAGTGTCAAGACGTGTTCATCCACCTGAGTAAATGAGAGACACAGTGACATCTTGTCATTCGCCGAGGAACTGAAATCATCCACTATCCTCATTCACCACATCATCCCACTCATCTTATCCACCATCCTCATCCGCCACCCTTCTTCACCCACCATAACCCATCACATCACTGATCTCATCCACCATCCTCATCCACCACCAGAAATCAGCAAATGTAAACATACTCAAGAGATTACTACCTTCAGCCGTGTGTGTGTGTGGTTAAACCCGTGACTACTATAACATACAAGGAGTATTTTTAACACGAACAAGTGGCCTTCAGAGACTGAGTGGGCAGAGTGCGTATAAGGCAGAATATTATCTTTACGGTGCCTCAAAAAAATATCGACCCACAGCCCCATGGAATTTGTGTGAATGTTTGTAATAAAATAGCAACATTGTTTTAACTTGTGGGAGAATTCGTTCATCAACAAGTGAGAACAATGTTAATGTTTTAATAAAATTATTCATGTGTTTTCACGAAGATCTGTTTAGATGTATGTATATATTTTTCTGAGATAATGTATAA